GTTCGAACATTCACCAACCCTTCGAAGATCTATTCAACCATTGTGTATAGAGCAACCACAGAGTGTGGAGTAAACAGTGCTACTCCAGAGACAGTAAATTAGAGGAACAGATCATTTCCCACCTGCCACTCCATTTAATCGAGGTTGTGAATCCATGTGAAGGAACGTCCTGCGACTCGCGATCATCACTCCTTCGAGTTGGCCATAGGTCTGTCCGAGGCATTATATAGAAATGTAGCACCACTTAAACCAATCCAACACTCCCTTAATGGAAATTCCCTCCGACAAACACACCACACAATACATCACCCGAACGCTTCTCAAAAATCCAGCTAGGATACAACGCGTGCTGATTCCGTCACGACATATCGAACTATTTACTTTCAAGTGAGCATTCACCCCAACGGTCCATTAACTCGACTCACAACCGAATTGCTACCTGAATTGATTTCTAGCGAACACGACACAATTGGCGAGCCGTGAAAGCTCCCAGAGCCAGATAGAGAGTCTGAGTCATCCAGGTCAGGGTTATAGACATCAGATACTTGACTATCATCAACGTAGTTATCATCCACACCAATATCCTCTGTGATGTCTTGGAAATATTTAAAACAAGAATAGTCACCCCTCAACATGGGACCCTTGTAGTTTCTACGATAATAATCGTAGAGACTGCGAGGGTCCCTGTCCAGCCCCCGAGGCCGGAAATACTTCTTAACGATCCGCATCCACCGTCGCGTAGCGTGGACCAGATCCGGATCTAAGAGGCCTTGTTCGAAGGCCTCTATTTCCAGATCGGTCCACGCACGCGGAGGTGGAGGGATCAACGGATTAGCCACTGGCGGATGATACTCACCTGTAATACAACGATCATCTCCTTTGCTTGGCTGGGAACAACTCACCACTGGTGTCGTCGGACCCGTTATCGATGTCGGGGGCGGAGGCAGGGGGGAGGAGGCAGCCAGGTGACCGCAAGGAGAAGAGAAGTAGGCCATGTGTTCATCGAAGGTAGGGAGACGGAAGGACTGAAAAATAAAACGCACATCAAATACAAACATAATCATTAATATCTTACATTGGGAGAACCAGCCACTGGCATAGTATCGGGTATCCCCGCTTGCTGGGGAGGCGTGGAGGAGGGGGAGGTGAATGATAATAAAACTGAATTTCAACTGCTTACAGTGAAGTATTGATCTATTGTCTTCTCTGGCGTACGTCTCCGTACGCCATCGATGAGCGGATAGAGTTTTACCTTCTGGTGACGATCCTTCAGAGCGTCCGTCCGATCCTCTCCCCTCGCCAACTGGCACGCCAGATGATGGTCGCGCCATTCCTGGCGCGACCGAGGGGAGAGCAAGTCACTGTCATCGATGTGGTCGTCGACGTCGATGGGGCCGGGAGGGGGGGAGGAGGACGGGAAGGAGCGGAGGGGATGTAATGGCGAACATGCTTAGTACCTGAAACAACAATAACAACGTTAATAGTATTGGTCGTATCAATAGTAGTATTAATAGTAGTAGTAGTAGTAGTAGTAGTAGTAGTAGTAGTAGTAGTAGTAGTAGTAGTAGTAGTAGTAGTAGTAATAGTAGTAGCAGTCTTACTATTATCCACCCCGGTAGTAGTAGTATCGTCAGCCCCAATAGTAGTAGTAGCAGTCTTACTATTACCCACCCCGGTAGTAGTGGTATCGTCAGCCGCAATAGTAGTAGTAGTCTTACTATTATCCACCCCGGTAGTAGTAATAGTATCGTCAGCCCCAATAGTAATAGTAGTAGTAGTCTTATTATTATTATCCACTCCAGTAGTAGTATCGTCAGCCCTAGTAGTAGTAGTCTTACTATTATCCACCCCAGTAGCAGTGGTATTAGTCTCTTCGACCCCAGTAGTAGTAGTAGTAGTAGTAGTAGTAGTAGTAGTAGTAGTAGTAGTAGTAGTAGTAGTATTACCCACTTCAGTAGTGTCAAATGGCCCTGTAGTAGTAGTAGTAGCAGTAGTAGTAGTAGGTTGTTCAGTAGTAGTAGATGGTCCAGTAGTAGTAGGTTGCTCAGTAGTAGTAGATGGCCCACTGGTAGTAGTAGTAGGTGGCTCAGTAGTAGTAGTAGTAGTAGTAGTAGTAGTAGTAGTAGTAGTAATAAATGGCCCACTGGTAGTAGTAGGTGGCCACGTAGTAGTAGATGGTCCGGTAGTAGATGGACCGGTAGCGTAGACGATGATGTTGACGGTACTGCCGACGGCAGTCTGCCGTTGATGCTGAGGGTGAAACTCACCAAGTGACCACCACACCTGGGAGCTAGTAGCTCCGAGCTACACATCATCCAAGTGAATCTAGTGCTTTGGATTACCACCTTCTGACTGGTGTTCAACCGTTGACTAACAACACAACACGCCCAGCCAAGCTCGTTGATTAACTTCCTTCTACGATCCGACAGTTATATACTAATACGCCAACAAGACGCCTCAGTTATCTCATACCAACTTATTGGGACTTAACTTGTCGCCCAACGAGTAACTGTTACAGATCTGACGAACTAGGAAACCATTGAAGTCTGATCGTCAGAAAGACCATGCACCCCCGTCGGCCAGCTTCAATTCTGGGGATTTGTGCCCTCTGGGGCTTCAGGGTAAACATAAGGGAAGTTCTTAGAAGTTGACCCTTCAGTTGGAGCAGGGTTCTTATTGACGGTGTTGTAGATATAAGGAAACTCAACAGTGCTGATTGACGGCTTTCCGGTGGTGACGTTACTCGCCATTGCAACGTCGGTCTCAGCTCTTTGAGCGCCGCTTGTCGACCCAGCGGCAGCAGCAGCAGATTGCACAGGCTCGTCGTCGGGGACAGGGCCAGACTCGGATGCAGAGGAGAAGTTGCAACCCATTAGGATGTTAACGTGAATCAACAACGTCTTAGAATGCACGAACAGTCAAATAACATCATTTTCATTCAAGCACAAGTCCCATCCCGTAAATGACCCAACATTCTATATTGCACGAATTCCCATCTACCACAAAACAAACTGAAAATTTGGCAGACTCCCCCTATCCGATGATGCCCAAAACCTCATCCTCTGGTACAAGACGTACCGCTCAAGGGTCATAGAGGAGAAAAATCCGACACAGTGACAGACTCTTCTACGCCGTAAAGGTCTCGATCAACTCCAGGCCAATTTGTAGAGTAGGAGAAGATGAGTATCATCAGCCTAGTATAGACCTCCTTGGGGAAATCACCCTAAATTCAACGAGATGCAACGACAGGGACAACCTAATGAGGAGCAGACATCTCACTACTGTCGACTCTCATACAAGGGATTGCCGTTCTACTTCAAGTCACTTGCAAGCAACACCACATCACCCAGGGTCGGACACCGTTCACTTACAACATGCCGCAGACAACGCAATAGTAACGATAACACTAAGTGGTGCCGCCACCGACGACAGGCCTTTTGTCGAGGACCAAGGAGGCTGCTTTGGCTGTGGAGGTGAGAATGCGATGGCTAGCTTCGGCTCTCATGTCATTCACCTGGAGCAATAATGCACTATACTAGGATCTCTAAATGGCTCACTCGTTTCCTATGCTGCTGTTCCCGCAAAGTGCGTTGCATGTAAAGCTCATCTTCCTGGAGGCTGCTCACCACCGGTATCAGCAGGAGGCCACACACTAACCATACCACCAGAGTGAACTGATAGGCGAGTGCTCGACCTCCTGTATAGGGTATCTAGTGATGAAACTAGGGACAAGCCCCAGCCATAACCTTACCAATAGAGAGACGAACAAAGTCCCAACACCTTTCGAGAGATCGTCGAGCACGCTGTAAATTGCGAATATCGTGCCTAAGACCGTGATGGGTCCACCTGGACCTACGGCTAATGCGCCATACCTCGATGCTGTGGAGGATTGACATTTAAGAGAATGGCTCCCAAATTCGCAGCTGGAGTGGTAGCAATGACTCCACCAATAAATAGCGTCCCGAAAAAGGACAGGTGTAACATCTCCGTGGATCCAATATGAGCCTGCGACTCGCCAACCTGGCAAGTGAGCTTTCGGCTAGCCCAACCGCGTGATAAATAACTACCGCATCCATGGCCTTCCCCATAGCTGCTGCTGCTAGTTGGTCAACCTCATTCGGCCCTTCCTTATACAGAGAAGTCCATCCAAAGACCGCGAAGAAGGGTATAACCCGTAGCAAGGACATAACCGAACAGAATAAAGCGCAGTATCTTATACGATGCAGATACATACAATGCTCGAGAATGAGTAGATTACCGTGGATCTGATCGGTAGAGCTTCTCACCGATGAACCCGCCTATGAGCACCCCACAGAAGCCTGCTAACCCCATGGTTGCCGTGGCGAAGAGCGCCAACTCTATAGAAAAACCCATGTCCTAAAGTGAGAGAGATCGCCTGAGCAGTGCCAACAACATTCATATACCTGGACCAAGAAGTCATGGAGATACACGATGATTATCCCCCATGGAATACCACCAGGAAAGGCTTGCAAGAGCACCAGAAGGTTCGTCCCTAACGCCAAGAAGTAATAGACGCTATAGGCACTGCCCAACCATACGGGAATAGGAAGCCTGCTTCAGCTGATCCACATTATCAGCAAGCCACGTAGACCGGCTGGGCTGCTCCCTTCTATACGATAGATGGCCCTCTGTGTCAGCTGTCGATAGAGCGGCAGAGTCCGAAGGCTCTGGGCTACGGCTGATGAGTGTCTGCTTGGAGCATTTGATATCGGAAGAGCTACTCTAATCCTCACCGCAGTCTCGTCGTCCGTACCACTCGGATCAGCTCCGTCCATCGCGCCCCTAACCGGTTCTACCAATGTGCTCTGGAAATTTACGGTATAATAAACGATGATAGTCGTAAACCTACTTGGCACAGCACAGCTCCTGCAAGAGCTGGTATGGGTATGAGAAGGAAAGCCCAGCGCCAGTCTATGGTCTGGCAGGTATAATGATAAGACGAGACTCAGCAACTACTATTACCTTTCCTATATAGGCAGCAGCAACTTGGCCCATGAATACACCTACCCCACAGGCCGCTGTGACCATCGCTGACGCTACTGCTCGTTGGTCCGGAGGGAACCTACAATGCCGACTAGTCAGCACATACACTATGTACTATAGCTCTGTTACCAGTCACCAACCATAGAGTATGCAACTGGCAAGGCGCCGCCTATACCGAGGCCAGCTATTGCACGGGCCCACAAGAGGGACCTAAATGTACCTACACAGTGATGAGAAGCCCTCGATGGGACTGCATGCTGAGGGGGCTACCGGCGAAGAAAGTGGTCATAGTAGCCAAAGCTGTGAGGGCAACCACCGCAGTGAGCAGTGTCTTGCGTGGGACAACAGCGGAGAGTAGACCGACTAAGAGGGCCACGAGCATACCAGGGGCATAGAAGACCAGCGTGAGCTCGCCACCCAGGTATCTGACCAACGACTTGAGATGGTAATGTGTCTCTGTGCAACATACTCATCTCGCTCCACGGCATTGAAATGGAACATCTTAGCCATCGATGTCATATTAGGTGCAACGAGGTTGTGTACGGAGTACCTAGCCCACTGCATTACTCCACATGGTAGGTAGTGGAACTTACATAAGCCCGAGGCACAGCATACAGACACTGATAGAATAGGTCGCGCTCTTGCCGCCGAGCCATGAGCTTATCTTATCCGATAGAGATACTCCCTAGCAGAAGCTCCAGAGTTCCGTCTCTGCGTACACTAGAGTACCTCTTCCACAGAGCGATCAGATGGTCTGTTATGTAGGTCGTGGTGAGACCCAAGGGCGCTGACCAGACTCGCTGTCACTTCAAGATCCGCCCGACCTTCACGAGAGATACGCTATGCTTCAAGTTGGCAGCTTACCGGGAGAATGCCCGTCTCGTTTCACTCTCGAATAGGGTAGGGGGGAAGTAATGGCGTGATGAGTGAGATAGATTAAAAAAGAGCTACGAGACAACTTGTTACGGTTCCGACTCTCCCATCCTTGTACATGCGTGCGTACGCGAACACACAATGAGCGTGATCATTCTGCGCACTGGGTTATTCTGGTCCTAGACAATTCTTTAGAATTGACGAACATGCAGCGAAGAAGCAGATGACCGGCCTTTACGACTCGAATAAGCCTAGAATGGAAACAGTACATCCTCCTTACTCCTAGGCTGCACATTACGGACGACGACGACGACCAGATGCGACGCGCGCGCCCTGCCTCATTTTTAGAGAGACAGGAGCAAGTGACGACACGTCTCCGACAAACTGAGTGTTAACGGCTGAGTGTTGACGGCTGAGTATTGACGGCTGAGTGTCACAGCGCTTAGTGTTGATAAGCCATGTGTAACTCTTGGAATGTCCTGGATGTAGATCTGCTCTCATCAGAGCCCACCTTTCGTGCCTTTTTCTGAGGCGAGCTGGAGGTTGGATATAATTCGTGAGATATGCGCATAAATGAACCTTAGCTAAGTAGTTCAGTTCGACCTGAGTCGACTCTTGCGTCAGATTTTCATTAAAATGAAAGCCGCATCATCCTCTTCCTTCAGTAAACCTCCTACTGCTAGCAGCATCGGCCGCCTGAACGGCTCATCCAACTTCAGAACAGTTGTCAATTTCGCTTTAGTCGCGATAGGCGTTGGGATCCTCGCCCTTCCGAGAGCCATCGCTCAAGGAGGTTGGATAGTCGGCAGCCTTCTTCTCCTCATTGCTTGGGCTGTCTCCCAATACGCCATATTCTTACTGTGGAAATGTATGGTCATGCCTCCTGACGGCAACGAGAAATTCACATCGTTTCAAGCAATCGGCCGTGAGTGCTTCGGCAGAGTCGGTGAGATTACCGTTTCCGTAGTGCTTTATGCCGACCTCCTCCTGGTCTGTTCTCTGCTGGTCATACTAGTCGGGGATGGCATGCACGCGCTAGTACCATCCGTCCAGCGAATATGGTGGTGTTTGATATTCGTAGGCATCATGATGCCTCTTGCATGGATGCCTACTATGAAAGAGGTGGCCTTCGTCTCGGGTTTGGGGATTGCTGCCGCCTTAGTAACTGTTATCATGATTATCGTTGCATCTTCGAGAGAAGCAGTGGACCCTGTGAGCCATCACGACTATGATTTGGTGCCATCTACACCGATGTATGCAACACTATCGTTTACCAACTTTATGAATGCCTTTACTGTAGCACCCGTCGTGCCCACTCTGATAAATGATATGAGAAGTCCCATGAGATTCCCACGAGTTTCTGTCATTGGGTTCCTCCTGGTCTTCATTATCTTCGCGTCAATCGCCTTCGCAGGATACGCTGGTTTTGGTAGCAGCCTGCTGGACTATTCCAATGTTACCCTTGCTATTGCTAGTGGACGATCCACCACAGACTGGGTGGTCCTAGTTGTACAAATTGCCATCGAAGTCGTTTCGTTCTGTCATTTTCTCGTTATGTTCAACCCCGTTTGTGTTGGGGTTGAAAGCGCTATACAGCATCTGCGTGGTAGATCCGTGCCGTACTGGATCAAAATGATAACAAGGTCTGTGCTTATTGTCA